ACCTAAAATAATTGGACTGTTTTTTTGCATGAAAATTATTATTCTAGAATTGAGAGGCAGCACTAGTGACAGATAGACTCCTTTCGAACCTGTTAAATAGGAGGCAGTGTGGGAGAACAGTATCTCCTCATTCTGGAAAGTCAAAAAGTTAGAGGTGGGAATTTGGCCCTGTGAAGTGCTAAGCAATGTCACAGAGCCCCAGTCAATCTTTGGAAGCACTTCTTTAAGGTATGGAAAAACAGGACAGAGATTTTTTGCATTTGGTGTTGAAAACTACTCTTCCCAACCCTACAAGTATTAGTTCTTGTCATAACCACATAATCCAGAAGTATCCACATATTCAATATGACAGCTAAACTCTATACTGTTTAGTTCTTGTAAGTTGTTGACATCTATATTTAGTTTGGTAACTGAGTTTGTAGCAATAACCTAAAAAGGTAAGAATTATAACTTTCTTATTACCTTTTAAAATTATAAATCAAAAGGTAGTTATCCTCGAATGATATTAGACATTTTTACCTGGTTTTCTCCTTTAAAACTGAAATTTGTAGGAAGAGAGGTAGAACTGAGCACTTGAGGTGCTAATCCTAACTGGTCTCCATAAAACAGCCAAGGAAGATTCTGTCTCCTATAAACAGTTACAACTGTTTTAATAATGGAGAATAAATATTTCTTATTAATATTTGTGAATATATTAATAACTGCACTGAATTCAGTCAAAATAACATTTCATCAGTCAAAATATCCTTACCAAAATGAAATAGAATGAACAGTGCTCAGTCCAGCAGTATTTTCAAAGATAAACTGAAATAGTCGACATGCATCAAATGTGGCAAAGTCGTAAGAATTCATGTTCATCACACATATATTTCCAAGAGCTTGACAAGATGTTAGATTGGCATATACCTACAACAGAACAATGGCAAAGAAAAGTAACATGAACCTGAACAGTCTATGCAAAAGTTGATATAAAAATTTTACTTTGTGCAGGTCCGTTTCAAGACGGCCAAGTAGGAACAGCTCCGGTCTGCAGCTCCCAGCGTAATCAACGCAGAAGATGGGTGATTTCTGCACTTCCAACTGAGATACCTGGTTCATCTCATTGGGACTGGTTGGACAGTGGGTGCACCCTACGGAGGGTGAGCTGAAGCACGGTGGGGCATTGCCTCACCTGGGAAGCGCAAGGGGTCGGGGGATTTCCCTTTCGTAGCCAAGGGAAGTCATGACAGACTGTACCTGGAAAAACAGGACAACTCCACCTAAATACTGTGCTTTTCCAATGGTCTTAGCAAACGGCACACCAGAAGATTATATCCCGCGCCTGCCTCAGCGGGTCCCATGCCCACGGAGCCTTGTTCACTGCCTGCACAGCAGTCTGAGATCCACAGCGAGGCAGCAGCCTGGGGGAGGGGCATCTGCCATTGCTGAGGCTTGAGTAGGAAAACAAAGCAGCCAGGGGAAGCGCGAGCTGGGTGGAGCCCACCGCAGCTCAGCAAGGCCTGCTGCCTCTGCAGACTCCACCTCTGGGGACAAGACATAACTAAACAAAGGACAGCAGAAACTTCCACAGACTTAAACGTCCCTGTCTGACAGCTTTGAAGACAGCAGTGATTCTCCTAGCACGGCGTTTGAGCTCTGAGAATGGACAGACTGCCTCCTCAACTGGGTTCCTGACCCCGTGTAGCCTAACTGGGAGACACCTCCCAGGAGGGACCGACTGACACCTCATACAGGTGGGCGCCCCTCTGGGACGAAGCTTCCAGAGGAAGGATCAGGCAGCAGTATTTGTTGTTCTGCAATATTTGCTGTTCTACAGCCTCCACTGGTGATACCCAGGCAAACAGGGTCTGGAGTGGACCTCCAGCAAACTCCAACAGACCTGCAGCTTAGGGACCTGACTGTTAGAAGGAAAACTAACAAACAGAAAGGAACAGCATCAACATCAACAAAAAGGACATCTACACCAAAACCCCACCTGTAGGTCACCAACATCAAAGACCAAAGGTAGGTAAAACCACAAAGATGGGGAGAAACCAGAACAGAAAAGCTGAAAATTCTAAAAACCAGAGCGTCTCTTCCCCTCTGAAGGATCGCAGCTCCTTGCCAGCAACAGAACAAAGTTGGATGGAGAACGACTTTGATAAATTGACAGAAGTAGGCTTAAGAAGGTCAGTAATAACAAACTTCTCCAAGCTAAGGGAGGATGCTTGAACCCATCGCAAGGAAGCTAAAAACCTTGAAAAAAGATTAGATGAATGGCTAACTAGAATAAACAGTATAGAGCAGACCTTAAATGACCTGATGGAGCTGAAAACAATGGCACAAGAACTACATAATGCATGCACGAGCTTCAGTAGCTGATTCGATCAAGTGGACAAAAGGGTATCAGTGATTGAAGATCAAATTAATGAAATAAAGCGAGAAGACAAGGTTAGAGAAAAAAAGAGTAAAAAGAAACGAACAAAGCCTCCAAGAAATATGGGACTATGTGAAAAGACCAAATCTACGTTTGATTGGGGTACCTGAAAATGACAGGGAAAATGGAATCAAGTTGGAAAACACTCTTCAGGATATTATCCAGGAGAACTTCCCTAACCCAGCAAGGCAGGCCAACATTCCAATTCAGAAATACAGAGAACACCACAAAGATACTCCTTGAGAAGAGCAACCCTAAGACACATAATTGTCACATTCACCAAGGTTGAAATGAAGGAAAAAATGTTAAGGGCAGCCAGAGAGAAAGGTTGGGTTACCCACAAAGGGAAGCCCATAATACTAACAGCGGATCTCTTGGGAGAAACTAAGCCAGAAGACAGTGGGGGCCAATATAAAACATTCTCAAAGAAAAGAATTTTCAACCCAGAATCTCATATCTAGTCAAACTAAGCTTCATTAAGTGAAGGAAAAATAAAATCCTTTACGGACAGGCAAATGCTGAGAGATTTTGTGACCACCAGGCCTGCCTTCCAAGAGCTCCTGAAGGAAGCACTAAACATGGAACAGAACAACTGGTACCAGCCACTGCAAAAACATGCCGAATTGTAAAGACCATCGATGCTAGGAAGAAACTGCATCAACTAATGGGCAAAATAACCAGCTAACATCATAATGACAGGTTCAAATTCACATATAACAATATTAACCTTAACTGTAAATGGGCTAAATGCCCCAAGTAAAAGACACAGACTGGCAAATTGGATAAAGAGTCAAAACAAATCAGTGTGCTGTATTCAGGAGACCCATCTCACCTGCAGAGACACACATAGGCTCAAAATAAAGGGATGGAGGAAGATCTACCAAGCAAATGGAAAAAAAAAAAACAAAAAAAACAAGCAGGGGTTGCAATTCTAGTCTCTGATAAAACAGACTTTAAACCAACAAAGATCAAAAGAGATAAAGAAGGCCATTACATAATGGTAAAGGGATAAATTCAACAAGAAAAGCTAACTATCCTAAATATATATGCACCCAATATAGGAGCACCCAGATTCATAAAGTGAGTCCTTAGAGACCTACAAAGAGACTTAGACTCCCACACAATAATAATGGGAGACTTTAACACCCCACTGTCAACATTAGACAGAACAACAAGACAGAAGGATAACAAGGATATCCAGGACTTGAACTCAGCTCTGCATCAAGTGGACCTAATAGACATCTACAGAACTCTTCTCCCCAAATCAACAGAATATACATTCTTCTCAGCACCACATTGCACTTATTCCAAAACTGACCACATAGTTGAAAGTAAAGCACTCCTCAGCAAATGTAAAAGAATAGAAATCACAAGAAACTATCTTTGAGACCACAGTGCAATCAAATTAGAACTCAGGATTAAGAAACTCACTCAAAACCGCTCAACTACATGGAAACTGAACAACTTGTTCCTGAATGACTACCGGGTAAATAATGAAATGAAGGCAGAAATAAAGATGTTCTTTGAAACCAATGAGAACAAAGATACAACGTACCAGAATCTCTGGGACACATTTAAAGCAATGTGTAGAGGGAAATTTATAGGACTAAATGCCCACAAGAGAAAGCAGGAAAGATCTAAAATGGATACCCTAACATCGCAAT